GGTCCAATAGAGATCAAACTATAATGTGGTCGCCATGTTCGCCGTAAGCGGTTTGTACAAGAACGTAACAGAAGGGTTTTTGAAGTTTGTGAAGTTATTTAATTTTCTTGCGTACTCGAATAATTTTTTAAGTTTTTTTTTTTTTATATTTCAATATATATTCCCTAGTAGCACAAAATAGTAAAAGAAATTCTAATTCTTGGACAATGGACCAGATTTAAGAAGCGTTTACTTTTTGTCGAGGGAAAATATTAATGAGACTCACTGTATGTGTTACGTCCCAACTCCACGATAGGTCAAAGGATGGTAGAAGATATTTAAGATATCTCGCCTTTCATATTATGCACAAAAATCAAACGATTTATGCTATTTTCAAAGCACACGACGTACATATCATCTGCACTGAAGAAGGTATAGTAATTTTACTAAAAAATGCGAGCGATGGCTTACTTCTTATAACATCTAAAGAGTGTTATGAGATGTTCTCGTGAAATATGTTTCTTCTTGATCTTGAAGAAATTGAAATCAAAAATTAAATCTAGCGGCATACTTTGTTTATCCCATGGCCAGAAATGGAGTTTAAAAGTAATAAAAAATTCCGCCTACAATTATTTTCATATTTTTCTCGTAGTGCTTGCAAGCTTATGTGGTCGTATATTTCGGATTGTAAACAGGTGGTTTTTGTGTACTGACTCTATCTCTTCCCTAACTAAGACTGTTTGCGTAAATGATGTTGGGGATTTGGTTCGTAGCGACTGTGACTTTTTTGCCTATGCAAATGATATCTTTGTGCGTTATAGAGAGAATTTAAACAATTTGCATTTATTCGAAAGCAATACTATCGAACTGTTAGCAATTGTTAACTCCTAATATGCTTTCCATTTACTCCAATAAGACTAAAGCCTTATTCTTCAATGCTTCATATGCTCGAGCATTCAATCTCAATATAAAAATATTCGCTCATTCCACTGATCATGTAGATGCAACGCAGTGTCTTGGGGTAATTTCTGAACCCAAACTCAACTTTGGCTCCCACACTGGCAACGTCTCTGCTAGTCCTTGTCTTACACTCCGAAAACCATTGCGCATGCTCCTCATGACGCATATTAAGTATTGTACTGAAATCAATGTATAACTTAGTATAACAAAGTACTGCTGACAGTGTAACACGTTTTGTTTACAGCGTCAAACATAGAGATCATCCCCTCCTTCAGGTTGCTTATCTATGGAGTTTATGAAGCAAGATGATCCTCATGTACAGTTTTTTTTTTCACCTGAAAAGTATCTATGTAACTAAGTAGCCGGCCCATGATTTTAAAATTACTTAATAAATGAATAAAAAAAAAATTAATTCGCTGTAGTTGACTACGTCTGAAATATCAGGTTTTTTTTCTTTAATTATTTGAACATTTTTTTCAAGAATTGAAGAAAATCTCGTAGAGCATTTGTTTTTATTTTTCCGTATTTTTAACGTTTATTTTTATTATTTTCAGTCTGTAAGTCGTTGGATATTCGCAATACACCGGGTGAATTTCGACAACTTGAGAATTGTACCGTTATTGAGGGGTTTCTTCTTATAACACTGGTCACCACGCATACAACGAGTGAATTCACGGAAACGTATCCACTGCTAACCGAAGTTACCGAATTTATAATCGTGTACCAAATAGAAAATTTACGTTCGCTTGCGCAAATCTTCCCGAATTTAAGCGTAATACGTGGACGTAATTTGTTCGAGGGCTATGCTTTGATCGTATACTCAAATATGCATTTAGAAGAGTTAGGTTTGTCTAAATTAACAACAATATCGCGCGGTGGCGTACGCATCGAAAAAAATGTTATGCTGTGCTTTGTCAAAACGATTGATTGGTCACAAATAGTATCTAATACTACAGATATTGTTATAGAGGTACAAGTACACATATTATATTTTCGTGTAAAGACAAGTTTTTCAAAATATTTTCAACTTCAGGATAATCGTGACACTATTGAGTGCCCTTTATGTCCAGGAGATCAGAAGAGTAGTGTGAGCGATAATACTCTTAACGAGTTAATTTGCAAAGAGCATCATGGTAGTCGTAATTGTTGGAATAGTAATACATGTCAGAAAAGTAAGTAGTTGTGTAAATAAGTAACTGGTAGGCAATAATTTTAATAATTACTTGCTCACTTTGTTCGTAATAAATTTTCAGTTTGCCCTGAACGTTGTCGGCACAATTGCCTTGATGAAAATACTTGTTGCAATGACTCCTGTTTGGGTGGTTGTTCTTCAGATAATTTCAACGAATGTATTATATGTCGCAATTTTTCTATATACAATAATACTTGTATAGACAAGTGCCCCGAAAATTATTACAGTGTAAGTGTTTATCGTAGGCTATTAGTGTAAATGTAGATATCAGTTTCAATTTTGACATATTTATGTGGCTGTCTTAGTATCTAGATCGACGCTGTCTAACAGCCGAATCGTGCAGCCGTATTGGCACCAAGTATGAAAACAATAAACCTGAAACATTGGTGCCTTACAAAGGCCGTTGTTCTACACGTTGTCCAGAGGGTTATAGCAAAATTAATCTAACTTGTACCGAATGTGGTGACAAATGCCTTAAAAAATGTGTTGGTGGCCAAATAGACAGCGTGGCTCGTGCTAAAGAATATCATGGTTGTACGCACATTATTGATGAGGGTTTGACGATAGTCATTAAAAGAGGTGGACGTAAGTTAACACATGAAAACATTTGTGTTCCAAGAATTGAGTGATTTTTTTCTTCGTTTCTGGGATCAAAAGGTCATTTAATCGAAGATTTAGAATACAGTTTGGCTTCTATAGAAGTTATTACAACCTATTTAAAGGTTCAGGGAACGTATGGAATGCTAAATCTAAGGTTTTTCAAAAATTTGAAAACTATAAAAGGCGAAAGACTCGTGGAAGACAAGTAAGTTTAATTTAATTCCTACAAGTAAATACTAAGTTGATTTTGTTTATCATGTAGATATGCATTTTATGTACTGGAGAACACCGATATGGAAAGTATATGGGCAACTAATCAAACCGTTCGCATTGAAGCTGGGACGGTTTATTTTCACTTCAACCCGAAATTGTGTTTAACCGAAATTGAAACGCTTTTGCCTATGCTTAAAAATCAAACGAAATTCGACAAGAATGAGGTTTCTGAAGATTCAAATGGTTCACGAGGATCATGTGAGTGATAATTAAGCGGTACATATTAACGTCAGACGAGTGAAAATCAATTTAATTTTGTATTTTAATAAATTTTAGGTAACACAACATTCTTGAATGTTACGCTTACTACAATAAATTCACAATTTGCCATCGTTGAGATATTAAATCCTATGAAATTTGAAGATGAGCGTACATTCATCGGTTATCAGTATTTGCATATTGAAGATAATTTTGGCAATGCCACCAAGCACGGATTTCGTCCGTGTGATGATGGGTAATTAATTCACTTTTAATCTTAATGTCATGTTTGAAAAAAATTTAAAATAAAATTGAATTTTTTTTTACTTTCGACTTAATTAGATGGACAATTAGCTTGCCGACCAAAGAGACTCGTTATTTTTTTCTTAATCTGAACCCTTTCACGCAATATGCTTACTATGTGAAGACGATGACTATATCAACTGAACGACGCAATGCCCAAAGTCCAGTGCAACGTTTTATAACTAAATCGGATCAACCTAAGTTTGTTAATAAATTGCAAGCTTATCCCAATTCCAGCTCAGAAATTGTTATGACTTGGTTGCCGCCTACATCGGCAAATGGCCAATTGAAAATGTACAAGATACGCGCAGTATTAGTTCGAATTCAAAACTCTGAGTCCAGAAACTATTGCAAAGATCGTAAGTAAAGCAGACCTTAAAAAGAAAGCAAGCGAAGAAACTCATTTTGCTTTTATTCTTTAAAGCTCTGAAGGAGATTAAAATTGAAAACCCAAAAATTGAGAGTCCGCGAACAGAAAAGCCTCCAATATCCGAGGGTTGTAAATGCCCTAAGCCTAAGGACTCTGTATACGATGACGAAAATGCTGATGCAAATATACATGCTAGTATCGAGTTGGAGAACACCCTCCAGAATTTTATATACGTAAAGTAAGTGCAAAATAGAAAATAAACTACGTTTAGCTTAAACCGAACAGTGGTTTTGCTCCAAATTATATAGTATGCGTTTCTTCAAAAGTATTTAAGATTACTTTACATGTAATCTGATAAGCTGATTTACAATACATATAATAATATAATATACATAATAATATGTTTAAATCGTATTTTTCTGCTCTTAAATTAATTTTTTAATTTTTAAAAGTTTCAAAAGTCTATTTAGTTTATAACGAATCAAAGCTATGCT